AGATCCCATACATCAGTATGAATAATATCAAAAGCAAAAGAACTTCTTTTATTACTTGATTTAAAAGAATGTTTATAATGTTTTCCCAAATGGCAGCTTTCACATTCCAAAATAGACAACTGAACAAACTCAAACAACTTTGGAAACAAAACCTTAATGAAATGAAAGAAATGTGACCCATTGCCTGCTAACTTGGTCAAATAGGTCAATGGAGGGTCATATGGTGGCTATCCAAGTCAATTGTTCTTTTTGTTTTTTGTGCAACAAAGTGGTTTGGGTTGAAACAAACTAAGAAAATTTTCTAGTTGCCAAGTTAATCAATCTGATTATTCAGTTCAACTACAAGATGAAATCATTGATATAAATTACAAATAAGAAGATTTCAAGCCAAGGCCTTTAGGTTGAAAGGTAACAAATCCACTAGTATGACATACTTGATTAGATGTCTTTGTTACATGGGTTTGGATAATTAAAAAATGCTGGATTTTATTATTATTATTTGAAATTATCACGTGCAATGCACATTTACTTAGTAAAAAAATCTTGAAAAATAGGATAACAAGTATCCTCCCAAAACTTCACCTTAGATATTGAAACATCATGCTTTATGTGTTGTATGAAGGAGGAATTGCTTTCCATGGACTCAGATTCTTTTGGAAACCTCCATGGTCATCTACCTAACAGAGCAGCATTCTTTTATTGTATTCTACCTATTCCTATCCCTTCTACCTCCTTTTTACAAACTTTTAGATGGTCTTTTTTCTCACTCAAGTCCCACAAGCCCTCATTATCTTCTAATTCTTCTTACTACTAAACTCCCAGAAGCCCTCATCATCATGAATTGTCTCCAAACACTCATGATAAAAGCCATAGAGAAGCTGGCCTTGGATCCTTGTTTCCACTCATCCCCATAATTGCCCTCTTTATATATTAAGCCAATATATATATATATAATTTAATTGATTATCTCTTTTGAAGTCTGCTGATAATCCTGATTTTGCAGGCATTTGATAATAATGCATTTTTGCACTAAAATCATGGGTTTCATGCGAACTGCATTGTGAAATAAACTACATCTATAGGGGCTAATTTGAAAGAAACAAGGGTTTTATACTCGAATACAATTAATTTATAGGGTGAGATTTGAAAAAGATGCACGTTCTTTTTCTCGACATAGGAGATGATGGTTCATTCACGATTTTTTTTCAGACTGAAAGTAAATTACCATTCGATATCAGACATAGATTTGACTAAACATAACGTTAATATGATGACCAAGTGATGTGCATAATTTGCAATAGTTACTGATAAAAAATTTTTGGCAGAATTAATTATGATGAAGGGTAATTTGGCACTCCAGTGCATAACACCTCATCACTATTTAGGCAATGATTTTCTTTTGCCAAAATGGTAGAGTTCACCTTGGAACCATCTCAGATGCACCTCGGACACACATTGAGAGTGTTTCATCGCCACCTCAGCAGGGCCGACCTGTCAGCACCTTGGCAGGGCTAGGCCAGTAATCTCAGGACTGAGCCAGAGACATCGGCACGAGGGGCGACCTCATGCCAAACCCTCCGAGATTTTGTGTGACTTGTCATCCCACCGACCTCACTAAGGCCTAGTTGGCGACTGACCTCCGTTACGTGTGACTTGTCGTCTCCGAACCCTCCAAGATTACGTTGCCCCACCGATGGAGTTGGGCCCCGCACTGCCTGCTTCGGAAGTAACCAGGTAAGCTCTACCACTTTACGTGGAAACTGTCTTCGAGTGTGGCAAGCTGATAAGCCATATCCTCCCGGAGATCTCAGACACGCTACGTGAAACTCACAACTACTTGTGCATATATAAAGGTGCCCCCTTCAACCAGAGAAGGTATGCGCGATTTAGCTTTCAGAACTCTCTTGCTCTCTCACTTTCTAGCTCTCTCAAAACATCCATTGCTAATTTAAGCATTAGAATGTACATCCAAGTACTCTGACTGTCTTCTTGCAACTCGGCCAGCCGACCTCATTAAACAAATATCTAAACTATCCTCCAAGAGGGACCACCAGATCGCCCACCATCAAATTACAAACATGACATTAGTAATTATGTTTCGCATTATAATGACTGCATTCACAAAATACAACATATTTCTAAGCATTTCACATCGCAATATCACATAAATTACTTAAAGCATAAAGGTGAAAAATGAGATAGAAGGAAAAGAAAAAAAACAGAACTTTCGATAGCACACATGAGCTACATTATTCTATTATATATAATCACATTGTAGGATAGCAGACAGCATGTCAACAGAACTTCAATGGATTCCACAACCAAGCGAAGTTGTATACATATGTGCTCAAAACTCTCAGAAACCACACTGTTATTCCTTTCTGTATCAAAATGCTTATCCTGACTGTGAATAAGGACATTGGGTTGGATCCAATCTGATAGAATTGGATTTGGATGTTCATTTAAGCATATCAAATCGGATTGGACCAGTATTAAGAGGACCATCATGTTATAGTATCGGGTTGGATATTATCAAATTGGATCCATTAAAAATCCTGTGTACTTTTAGATGTTAATCTGAACTACGTTATAGGTGTATAGGATCCAGTCCAATCCATTTGCAATAAAATAAATTGAAATAGATTCTTTTTTTTTATCAGATTCGGGTTTGATTGAATCCAGCTTACTTGTCACGAATTGACACGAGATTGGGTCGAATCGGACCAAAATTTGGTCCATTTGGTGCCTCGTCATGAAAGAAAAATATAGGTTTACAAAACAGGCAGGAAGATGGGAAAAGAATGAGGCTGTGACATACTAAAACTCTCTCAAAAAATAAAAAGGGAAATTATCAAAAACTCATCATGACTTTTCAGCATTTCTCAACTCGCCATAAACAGGCATTAGTAAATTAGCATTTTACCCTTTATTATATGCGACCCATTTTTTAATATTCCAGAAGTACCCTTGATATTATTCGATCCAAAACCCATTTTCAGCTTCCTTAGAATACCTTCAAGTGGCAAAATAATAAGAGCAAAATGTCTCTCAACAAGTAGAAATCTGATATACAGGGCATTTGGGTGCTTAAGGGCATTTTAATCATAAAAATATGTTTAATAAGGCTGATTTGCCATTCAGGGATAATTTAATCATGAAAATTGCATTTATGCTGATATGAACAACTTCTGTTAATATACACTTACAGTGCTCTAAAACTCTATCTCCTTGCTATGAATGCCTTACTAGAAGAGACTTGTTTATATACAACAAAGGCAGTCATAAATGGCAAAAATGGGGGCTAATTTATAAGGGTTGTAGTTAATAAATTGTAAAAAAATGAAAAAAATAAAAATTAAAGATATAATAATATTCAATTTGAACATGGGGCTAATGTAAGAGAGTGGAGGTACAAAACATATGCAAGGACAAAGAGACACAGAAGATTATGGTTTTTGAACCGCTATTGACCCGGACAGTCAGACTGTTCGGACCAGAAATCGTTCAGGCAACTGGTTCTGTTTTACCCCAAACCCAGTCCTCGACCAAAAACCATTGATTTGGTCAATGACATGTTGACCCAGGTGATCAAATTTTTAGCCATTTTTAATTATTTTTAAAAATTTTTTAAATATTTTTGTCAGAATGGACTATCGATTCAAATCAAATGGTCAAACTATCAACCCAAAAACAAGTGGCCAGAACGATTCCATTTTCAGGTATTTTTTAAAACATTGCAAAAGATAAGACTGCATTCACGTACGAGTAAAAGATTGCAAACAAATGACAAGCACGTGCATAGAAATAAGATAATAATTAAGATATTAATACATAATAAATTATCATTATCAAGTGTATTAACCTGACAATTTGGTTCGGTAGCTTAATCTAAGTTGCCGTAACTACACCAGAGGAATGTGATAAAATAGAATATTCTTTCTCGTGTGGGACTAGGGAGGAGGAGGACCAGAACCTTGTCTCACACCCACAAGGTTTCAGTTAAAAAGAGTATTAGCTTTAATGTTTTCTTCCGTTGAGGCAGAGTTTAATGAAACAAATCTACAATAAGCCATAAATTGTGTGGACACTTTGATAACATGACATCCAACTGCATATCATGAATAGTGCAAACATTGGTTCCATGCATATATATGCACTTTGGTTCAATTTTGCAGGTTCCACAATCTAAGAACAAAGTTGGCATCCAAATTCCAAGATATATTTACATTTAAAATGAGAACAAAGTTTGCATCCAATATTGGTTAATGTAAAAAAGGTGGATCCCTTTATTTGAGGCAGCCACCCCTTGACTAAGTAGGTCCTTAATAAAAATTATGGTATAAAAAAATTTATGACAGCCACCCCTTGACTTGACGGGAAGGTATAAAAAAAGAAAGGTCTATTATTTCCCCCAATGAATTGAAGAAAAGAACTATTAACCATTGATCCATCAACAATTTATGCTTTAAAATGTATTTTTTTTTGGTAATTTAAAAAATAATAAAAATAAAATACTTTTAATATTTAAAACTTATAAATTGCATATGACATGCGTCTTGCAAATTCTATTGATCTAATGATTATATATTCCTGGAAATTATAAATTAATTACTTAATTTACAATAAATAAGAACATATGTATTATTTAAAGAAATAAAAACATTACTTACATTAGTAATTTTTAAGTTGTATAGGTAATTAGCAATATTAAGAATTATTAGATTGAGTTAACTTGACTTTTTTTTTTGATAATTTACAAAAGTAAAAAATCATTAAACATAAAAAGTGAAAAATAAATAAATAGTATAGAATGCAAATATAAGCACCTTCTTGCAATGAGAGCTTCTTCTTCTGTAAGAAAAAGAAGGAACTATTCCTCCCAGGCCCAGAGTAAACGTTATTCGAATGATGAGTCTACTAGAAAATAAGTCTCATTTAAGACAAAAGTAAACATGTAAACAACTAATCAGGGGGTTCTCAAACTCGAAAGCAATATATAATTATGAAGAAGGAAAGCAATGTAATTAAGAAAATGATATCACACCTTTCTGTTAAAGAACGAAGAAGCCATCTGATTTGTTTGGTTTATATTCCAATCCAAATGTATCTTTATAACAAAAGCCAAAAAAAAAAAAAAAAAAAACAATGAGACACTATAAATTCCAACTTCCTCCAATGATATTACTACAACTGAAAAGGCATGCTAGCATGTGATATGAGCACGTAACATACAAAGAACGTCGCATACCTCATCCATCAGCAACTTATCTCATGATTCCGTTTCTGACTTGAACTACTACTTCATCACAGAATAGACAGTTTTTGTTTCAATTTTTTAGCAGGCCACATCATCTGCTGGTAGAAGAAATGTGGCTTGTTTGTCTATCTTCGATTTGCTTTCTTCCCTAATATGGAGCTATATAACCATATTTTGCCTTGCTCTGGATTTGATTCTATATACTGTATTAATCTATCAGGCAATGCCTGCCTCTGGGTTAATTCTATATAAATGGGAAGAGAAAATTAAATTGGATGCAAAGGACTGTGCAGAAGAGACTGTACTAATCAAGGGCAGCTTTATTCCATAGGCCAGTTATAGGCTTGGGCAAGCCATCGAAGAGCGGTCTAGTGAGAGCTGAAGTTGAAAGGGCTTGCAAGTCTGTTTTCAAACTCCACTTTGAAGTTGGCCAGATGGATGAGTTATTGCTTTCCTGGTCTTGCAAGTTGGAGGTGCTGGATGATTTCCGTACCATGCTGCATCCATTGGTCATGAGAGAATCTCCCAGACCCACTGGAATAGGAGTCAACCACGCTGACTCAGCGTCAGATGCAAGATTGGTTCGGCTAGCAGATTTTGGCCTTTGGGCAAGACCCTTTCCTGTTATTGCAGAGAACCCACTGCTGCCTCCACTATTTTCCTCTTTCAGTAGCTTTTCTGGTGTGCGAGAAACAAAATCTTCAGCTTTCTGCCGCCTACGTACAGATTTCTCATTTGACCTCTCAGCCTCACTATCACCTGCTTCTGTAACCAGCAAATTCTCATAAAGTTCACCATTCTCAAGTGCAAAACTATTAAGCAAGCTTCTTGTCGGCCAATGCTGGATTGGAAGGGAATCGGAACTGGGAGAAGGTTTGGGCGGTAGTCCATCTTCCAAGTAATTAGATCTGCCTGATTTGTAAACTGCCATTTCAGTGCCTTCTAATGTACCATTACTAGTTGAAGGTTTAAGCCCGTAATAGCCCTGTAGGGTGCTCATGGCTGGAGAAACCCTTCGTTGGGGGGATTTCAACCCGAGGGACTGGAAGGATTCCAACAAGTCTGAGTGAGATTGTCTACTTGGGGTCTGTTCAATGCTGCTCTTTCTGCAAGAAATCCCAAGTATAGTAAGCCATCATGAACAGCTGATGTTATGTTTTATATCTAGAGCATGGTGGCTCAAATAATCTAGTAAAAATAATATATAGTAAAAGAAATATTTTCACTTTTCTTGGTAACATTTTCTAAGTGTTCATCTAATTTTGTTGGAAAGAAAGTGCTGATCTTGAGATTGTATTAGCATTTTCTGAAATCAATGGAATCTAGAATGAATCACATTTTATCCTAGTAGAAGAATTTTGACACTTGTCTGAAAAAAAGAAAAGAAAAGAAAAAGAATTGATACAAGATCAAGCTAGACATCTTGAAGCGAAAGACTTAAAGCTAATCCAAGTTAGAACAAATTAACCATATATAGATCAAGAAATGTCAAGTTTTTTTTTGATGAATAGAAATGTCAAGTTTTTAGACACTTCATTTTCTAAGAATCCAACCAGTGAGATGTATCCTATTCTGATTTTAAATATAACATGACATTCAGGGTGAGAAGAATCTTTTATGAGTATTATGACAGCTACAGTTTCTAACATTCATGTTTTTTTTGGGAAAGAGGTAAAGTTTTATTAAAAAACACAGATAGAATACAGCAAGTCCCCCAAGAGAACACCTTAGATTGGACGAGCACAACCAACAATAGAACTACAAACTATAGCCCCCACAGACTCCTACACCTCAACAGCATCCCCAGGTTATGCTGCTGAACTGAAACCCCTTTGCAGCTGAAACCCAGGAAACCAGCATCCCAAAAGAAAAAGAAACTAATTCTTCCACTTCCTTAGAGGTCTCTGTAAAAGCCTGCTATTTCTTTCAGTCCAGATAGTGCTAATCACTGCAGCTGGAACAGAGACCCAAACATTGCTTGCCAACTTTGAAAGACCTTGAACTTCCCATCTTCAAAGGAGGTCCAACACTGTGCTAGGCATTACCCAAGGCATCTCCAGCACTGAAATATAATGTCACCAGAGATGGGAGGTAGAAGTGCAATGGAGGAACAGGTGAATTGTTTCCTCCAAGCCTGCCCACACAGCAAACAAATCTGGTCAGGGACCTGCACCCCCTCTTTTAGACAGATTTGCTTTAGTTAAACATCTATCCAGAGTGGCAGCCCATGCCAGGGTATTAGCTTTTGAGGGGGGAATGGGATTCCAAATTCTGGAAGCAGGCACTGCAACAAGATTTCTCTCTGAAATCTTGAGAGCAAAAGATTTAACTGAAAAAAGTCCATCTGCATTCCATTTCCAGCTCCAACTGTCTTCACTGCTAGTGTCCACTATCTGAACTGAAGCAAGCTCCAGCATCTCAGCAGATTTAATAATCTCCCAGTCCTGAAAATTCCTCCAAAAAGAACACCAGATTACTGTCCACCCATTAAACTCATAGCAATCTGCCACAACTGCATCTTGATTATCAGCAATCTGAAACAACTGTGGGAATAACTCTTGAAGAGGGCAGTTGCTACACCAAGGGTCTTTCCAGAAAGCCAACCTACCACCATTGCCCAACTTAGAAATAAGACCTCTGCTAAAACTTGGGGAATAACTCTGAAAGAGGGCAGTCTCTAACATACATGTTCTGTGTACATCTACGAGAAATTTGTTTTGAAAATGTTACATAGACAAAAGTTTGATGGATATGTGAGCATACCAGACTTATAAGGTCAGATATTTAATATTTGTTAGAGATGCAAGGTCAAGGACAGGCTTCTCCTTTTATAATCTTTTACTAATGAATGGTTATTATGTAATTATACATGTATTACTCGTGAGTATAAAACCTATATGTTTGGCAGCTAGAACTTTTTGGCCTTTCATTCTTTTCTCCTCTTTTCCTTTCTTTCTTTCTTCTTCCTTCCTAAAAATCATTTTCTTCTACCTAGACATTACCATTTGGCATTCACGAATTATATAGACATAGGATAGAACATTGTTATCTTATCAGGCTGCTGGCTGTACAGTTGGCAGAAATCCCAAGTGATGAAATTCTGGAAGTACTATTTAGACACATTCTGGTGCAAGTTTCATGATCATTGGAGACTTCTATGGTATCTTTTAACATTTTATCTACTGAAAACAACATTGTCAAGTTGTTTTTTATTGTTTGTGTCAGATATTGTGCCAAATCTAGCTGCCTAACATGTGATGGGAAGGACTCTGTACAGGAAGACTTGAAGAGTTGAGGAATTGCCCTCACAGAGCCGGGAACAAATGAAGTGAGAAACTTGTGCATTGTCATACAGATTCTATCAGCTAATCAAAGGGAGTGGTAGTACAGTCCTCTTCATTGAATACAAAGACTGATTATCTTTTAAAAATGAGGCTGCATGGCATCATTTTGTGAACAAAACAGTGTTTAATACCCTTGAATCTTGTTATTGATAGCCTATCTTCAAAGCTCTTTAACCATGGTAAGATTAAATTGAAATGATTCAAATTCATTATTGTATTATCTTAGCTGCATTTCCTCCATATATCATATAAAAACAGAATGGAATATCTTGTTCTTTTCTTTTTTGATAGCAAAATAATAATTTCATTAAAAGGAAAAAATACAAGAGGAAAAGGTTATAAGACATCACCTAAGAGGAAAAAGAACACAAAAAAACAACGACAGCTCACTCCTCACACATAGAAACCAGAAAAAAAAAAGAAAAAGAAAAACCAACACACTTGAACATCATCACCCAAAACCAAACAGACCAACCTAGAACCCCTCAGACACCCCCCCCCCCAATCAGAACCAATAAAACTCCCACAACCAACCTGTCACCAGCTTTACTAATCAATCCCCCAAATCCTTCAATTCATCCCCAACTCCAGGAAAGCTCTTCTTGCAAAACCCCCACCGCCCAAAAAAAAAACCCATTATTTTACAAATTTGAACTTCCTTATCGACAACTTTTTCCAGATCCAATTTTTTCTCTACCATCCTCACTTTGTCAAGATTCTCAACACCTGCTTTCCTCCTTGAATCTTCTGCAATCTTCTCACAAACCGATTGAATCTTACCTTAATTTTACTTGTTTTCTCTTATACAACCTTTTAAATTTGTTACTAGGACACACCCCAATAAGTCTTTTAGGCACAAGTAATTCTTGGTTACATGGAAAATATGAGAATTAATTGTGCCTGTTAATTTCTTCAACAGCATCAGCAAACTAAACCTCAGTCCTACTATTACCAAAAAAAAAAGAACTCAGTCCTACAGCCAAGGCCTTTCTAATCTTCCAAGTACCCAAAATTTTCTTGGAAGCTTCAATGGTGCATACTCAGCTACAAAAAGTAGCAACCAACTCTAAGCCATTGCCCCACTACACCATTAGAATTCAAAGAAGAAATACAATTGGAAATCTCAGGATCAACTTTCTCAATGTTTCCATCAGCTGATCTTTGATGATCCTCCCCAATTGATGAAAGAGAGCTCACCTCCTGCACCTCATCAGCATATACAAATGTAACACCCTCTTATATAATCTCCACTGGCTCCTAAACAACCTCAAACTTTTGAAATGTCTTGGTCGCACGGCCCACACCATCTTCCGAGTCTTCCCAATCCAAATCCTTGCTCTCAAATTGAAATGCAACCTTCTAATTACCATTCATGCCAAAGTTCTGATCAACAACTTCAACTCTTGATTCAACTTGTATATTAATCAAGTATCTTCCTTGATCCTTCTTCAACCTCTTGATCTGAGACAGATCCCTGGAGTTGGCACCACCGCCCACTTCTACAAACAGGAAATCTTTCCACTGCTTTGCACTTTCAATATGGTGACAAACCAGGTCCATTCTTCCTTTTCTTTTTCTCTGCCTCGAACCCCTACCATTTTTCTCCCAATGATTTTGCTTCTAGTCCATTTCCTTTCTTAAAAATAGAAATTCATTTGCCAAAAAAACCCCCACCTTTTTGCAAATAAATAAAACGTGGAATAAAATAGAGATGAAAATAGGTAAAATACTTCCATGTTGATGTGGGATAAGGTAGGGGTCATACAAATTTCATATCTAGTGGTAGGCTTTGCAAAGTTCAGGGGCTTTGAGTGATTAAACATGAAGAATAAGGATGAAGAAGCAACTAGACAGCTTGCTGTCCACAAAAGAGAGAGAGCTCTTGGTGTTAGGGTAAATGGAAAAATGATAGATCACTTAGAAGAAGAAATAGGTGAGAGAAAAGGGGGAAAGAGAAGAAATTCCTGGTAACAACCAGAATTCAATAAACCAACTTTATTTCAGCAAATGAACTCTTTAATTTGGACTACAAAACTGACCTAAAACAATGTCTAATCACTTCAAAACAAAAACAAACCCATAGGAACATTCAAACAAGGACTCTTGACTCCTAAAAACAACTCTAATGACACCTTACTAATCACATTAAAACTAACTTAATGTGAAGACACCAGAAATTACTAAAAATAGTAAATCATAATATCACTATCTGGTAGGTTTAAAAGTTGGTATAAAAAGTAATTTCAATTCATTAACAATATTCAATTTCTAGAAGACTTCAAACCCTGATCTTGAGATGCCAAGAACTTCAATGAAAGAATTGCATCTTGTTTGGACCCCACTTTTGTCTTTTTCCAATTTTTCTCCCTTGACATTTCTACAAGATGAAAATGAAGCCAAAAGACTTTTTCAAGCCATTACTTCCTTTTTAATATGTGTTAGCTTCTTTCTAGGCTTCCAAAGAGGCCCAAACTGATCTAACCAAGCACATGCTACTACAACACATTTTTTCATTTATAAATCTGATAACATTAAAATCACCCCCCACACACTAAAGGCCCTCCCAAAGAACCCTTATAGCTGCTAACTCCTCCCAAAATTCTTCTCTCCCTATAAGAGTTTGGTCCATAAACATTGGTTAAGGCCCATTCCAATCCATCCACACTCAATTTAATGGTAACTATAAAGTTACCAATAAGTTCTACTGTACACTTCATCACCTCCTCCTTCCAAATTGTAACAATTCCTCCTGAAGCCTCTCAAGATTGTGCATAAGCCCAACTTAAACCCCAACACCTTGCTGACCACGCATTTCTTACCCACCTCCTTCCTATCCAATTCTACTAATTTGGGTTCCTGGATTAAATTTCTCTTTCCTGACAACTTCCCTGATCAACCTTTTTTTCCTTGAACTCGCCCATCCTCTCACATTCCAACTGATTAACTTCATAAGGAACACCTAAACACAATACCCAAATATTGCTCTTTATTAACATAGTTTCCTCTCTTCCTCCTTATACACCCTTTCTCATAATCCATTTCACATTTGAGCCTCTCCACCTCACCCAATTTTTTCTTTCTCCTCTTTGGTGTCTCTCCTTCCTTCTTATTAGGAATTTTCTTATGATCCGAAACTATCTCTTTTTTTTGGCCCTCTCTTCTACTCCTTTTTTATTTATTTGCCCCCTCGTCAGCCTATTTTTCCTCCTTTCCAAGGACTGAGGAAAGGAGTATCACCCTCCTCAACCTTTCGAATCCTTGTCCCTAGCTCCTCCACCAGTTGATCAAACAATTGCATTATCAATTCCTAAATTCTCTCTCCTTCTTCCTTAGAATTTTCTATAGTCTCAACATCCCCTAACACTTCAGTTTCTAGCACAGAATCACTAGACGTAGTAGCTTCTAGACAAGAGGTGGACTCACCTGCAGGCTGGACAACAAGAGCAATTGGGGAAGTGGGGTTGTTAGCCAAAATAAAATCAAAAATTGAAAAATCTTGACACAGCGTACCAAGAACAGGGAGAATCAAGAGACCAGTAGACCCAACGTCCCAACCAACAAGAGGGCTTTAAGTTGGGAGCTACCTCCTCCAAATCAACATTTGTCAAGCTTTTAAGGGAAAGGAGAGTGCTTGCAGCCTTGTTGACCAGAACGGGAGAAGTAGAAGCCAATCTACAAGCACCCTGGCTTTGTCTCATATTAAGAGAAGGATCTTCTCTACCTAAAGTTGAGATGTTTGCCTCACCGAGAGAAACTTTCAGATCAGAGATCTTTTGCGGTCTCAAAAATTTTTGAGCCAAGGTTGGTGAAGAACCACCAAAGAGTAGACTTGTGCAAAAATCCCCTTCCACCATGAAGTGCTTGCCAGGTCTGCTCTCAACACTAACAATACTGGAATCTTTGTAGATTCATCACCACTCTTCTCCTCCTAACAATTAACCCACTTTGAATCAAATTCATCTTTGCCGTCTTTTTTCCTTTCATACCTTGGATTTTTGATGGTCTAGGCTAGTGGAATAAGAGATCGACCTTGGTCACCAAGCAAACCTTGTCTCTGCATTCTCAGTCAAGCTACCTATCTTCAAATTGGGGTGTATCTGGGATGATGATACACCTCCCTTACTGTCTCTTGTCCCTCTGGCCCTTTCTTTATTGGTCACATGTTGATCTAAGTTCTCACATGACCCCTTTCCTCTTTGTAACCTCAGCCCATCTGAGTTCTCAGCTTCTAAGTTGTTAGTTCCTAATCAGAGGTCTAAAGTTCTTAGCCCAGTACAAAGACTATTTAACACCCGTTTTTAGTCTCACCCCCACAATGATTGTCTGGTTCAGCCCTCAACTTTTGGATTGGCTCAGTACTTGGTTTGGGTAAGTTAATGTGCTCCAAACTGCTTCAAGAATGTTAAACTCCTGGTTATTTATCCAAAACAAAAATGTTGAACTCCTGGTTGTGCATTTACTCCATCTGTTAGAACCCCGATAGGTCCTACAACCCTCTATTGTTTTGCCTTTACTTGCACGCTTCTGAAATCTTTCAACGTTACCAACCAATTTTGAATGGGCAAATCCCTATGATCCATGTAAGTAATCTTCTTCAAGCTCTTCATCTTCCACCCCCTAGAATCCCTCCACAGAGTAGCTTCAATGGAGGTCAAGAGCCAAAATGAGTAGAAGCTATTACCACAAAAGATGTCAACCTTCCATGGAATTTCTTTAGGCTTTACTCCACACACGTTCATGGCCGCTAATCAAAGGTCTAAGTGAAAATTCCTTCAATACGTGCCTTGCGTAAAGAAGAAATTGATTCAAAGACCTCCATCTTCCACAAATGGAAAGGGTAGAACAACAACCCGAAATGGTAACTCCATCTTCCACAAAGACATCCTTCGAATTTGAACCAGGGACCATCTCATAACTGTAGCCACTCCAGTACTCAGCTGAAAATTCAACGCTCTGATATCCAGAATGTTCCCTACTAAGCCTAACAATGCTTTACAGTCTTCAAAAGGAGTGAATATCACTGGACCTTTTATCTTTAATTCCTTGACCAGCTCGACTACTATTTCTCTCCAGTTTTCTGGTTTCTTACGTACTTCAACCACCAGCTTCTATTCCTAATCCTCCTCCTCTGTGTTGTATACCATTTTACCAACTCCCAGTCCATTCACCACAATCTGTTCTCCCAATTATACTACCTTCCCAAGACAATGTTCTATTACATTCTCTGAGCTAGGTCCTGCTATTTCTCCATTTTTCTGTTTTATCTCACTCCCTTCCTTCATCAGAGTCAGAAAGTCCTGTAGTAGATTTTTAATCTCCCTCCAGCTTGATCCATTCCTTCTTTCAGGAAAGCATACCAGCTACTTCTTGCCTTCCCCAAAAAACTCATATAGAGAGAAGAATCTACTGTTCTTGTTCCATCTTTTTTCTGCAAAATACCTTCTTCCATCCTCTTCTTTTGAACTCTTCCAAGGCAAATCCTTACCCACTTGTAGTACACCATCCATGAACAGTCGGAACCACTCGATCACCTCCAATCCTACCAATAGTACCATGGCTCTTCTTATTTCCCTGATCGTCAATGTGGTCTCCTCATTCACTCTGTGCCTTTTGAAGAGCAGGCCCTTTGCTTTACAGTCTTCAGCCTTTAGAGATCTTCTCCAAGTTGCTGTCTGAACGAACTCCATACCCTCAACTTTACATGCTACTACATCACATGTACAACTAAATGTTTTGAGACATCAAGGTGGGAACTGTATTCAGTATTCCTTACATATTTATCTATTAATTAATAAATTCATTTTTATAGTTTTATTAATAAATTCAATTATCTTCTTAGTGATACATAAAAAGAAAATTTATAGTTGGAAATGGGTGTGGTGGTTTGGGGATTACCCTTGAAATCAATGCTGTCAAAACATCTAGGTGATCGCCCAGTTTAAAAGGCCATTACCAAATGCTGGCTCCATCTAGAAGTGGACTAGAAACAGAAACCAAGCAAGGGCCCCCCTAGGTGAATGCCCACTTTTGCACAAAATGGACTAGATACTTGCTCTCATACTCAAATCCACAGTCTCATACTTGTCAGCCTGAAATTATACCATTACACCAAGCACTGGTCCTATGTAAATGTCTATTTTATGTATATCATAAAGTGCATACATGCTATTAAATAGATTATCAGTGTTGTAATATGACCTAACCAAGACAATAAGTTGCCTGTCTGGGGGATCACCTAGGTGGCTACATTTTACAAAACTGCTTGAAGCAGATAATTATAAAATATAGAATAAAAAAGCAAGAAGAAAGACATTATCCTGTAGCTGTCTCTCTAAGTAGGGACCAGGCTTGGGGAATAATGTTGTAAATATGTAGTCCGATAATAATAGTTAAATTTCAGCCTGTGGCTGTATTTACCGGTTTGGTGTTCCCTTCATTGTAAAAACTTTGGAATGTTGGGGTTTATGACTTTCACTTGTAACATAAATGCCTAATTACTGTTGCTGATAAAAAGAAGTGGCCGGAACAACATGCAGAATAGGCAAGAAGATATCCATCAATCATGATGTTTGCTCTTAGATATGTCATCATAACTTGTGCTTTTAACAAAGCGTTAAAGAAGTTTCCTTATGAACACAAATTTTTAACTGATCTCTAAAAGTTGATTGTTTGAGGAAAGAAATGAGCAAAAAAGAAAGATCTTATGTCCCTTGAATTAAGTCATAAAAAATCATTGCATAGACCAGGTCAAAGAAATAGGATACCATCTACAGCAAAGGAAGCAAGGAAGTAATACAAAAAATCACACACAAACAGAAATCAATAATTGGATGCCAGCATGCCATTGAGACATACAAGGTATCTTGTAACTTCCAAGACATAAGAAATGGTTGTAACATGATAAGTTAAATGATGAAAAAGAGTAGAAAATGAAAGTAATAGCTCTTTATCAAAATTCATAAATAATACCCTTGGGTAACTAAGCCATTCGATATACTTGAAGATGGTGCATGCCTTCCTGGTAATGGTATCCGCAGCGACTTGAGAGCAAACATTTGACGATCTGTGACCAAGCCATTCATTCTTTTAATGTCTGCCACCTGAAACACCACGACAATTGCACCCCAATAAAGATAGAATCAACCATCTCAATATATTGACAGAAAACAATAAGGAATGACTCTCCTGACACATACAACAGCCAGTCTTTTCAGTACCAGTATGCAGGAGCAGGAGTGGAAAACGGGATACAGGAATTAAACCCACTAAACACTGTAATAAGAAAACATACAGCATGGAATAACAACCATGGACTACTTTCCCTCACATAAACTGCATAGTTGTCACATCAGTTAGGCTATTCCATTAATGGGTCATAACCCATCTTTCCGTACTTCAGATAGTAGTTTTCCACTGCTTGTTCCCGATATATGAGAAATCTAAAATCAATCTTTAGCTGCATTCCACATTTCTCCTATAATAAGATGCGAATATGTAAAAATTATGCCACAAGGGCAGCTTGTGGGCTACAACTCACCAAGGAAATACATTGAAATGTTATTGTAGAGATGTTTATGTACCCTGTACCAGCTATATGCATCCTGTTTCTTCAGGACAAGAAAGCATTTTCTTCCTTTGTATTTTTGTTTTACATTTATTCTGGATAGCAAAATCATGTTATTTCTGTTCAAATTTGTTTCGGTCCCAAATAATTAGCTCCATACAATAGTTCATAACAAAGAGAAACTTTCAGGACAATATATCTTTCCTTTCCCTACTCCAGTTTCCAATTCAGCCTCCTTTGCAAAACAGTGTTTGAATTTCGACATAAATAGAGATCACAGAGAAAAGTGAAAAATCAAACTACTTATTTGTACGGGATCGGAAAAGCCAATTTTTTTTCTAAACCATACATTCAATAATACAGAACAACATAAGAAAATTCTCTTCATTGAACATTATCTTTCTTTTCTATGGATCTTGTACCTCAACTCCGTATTTGATGGCGACGCCGGCAAGAGTATCGAACTTGGACACATAGTGTTCAATGTAATTAACGGCACCATTAGACGAAGATGGCGACGGGGATGACGAAGGAGTTAACAAAAGGCTCGATGACATTGTCGGATGGTTGCCTCCTACTCCGGCCACCCGATCTACAACATGATTCCCATTAACCCAACCACTATCAGTCAGCATATCTAATACAACCCTCCCCAACCAGTCAAACCCTAAAAGCCTTTCCTCAAAACATCAAAAATTCCCTTCGTATCCTCATTTCTAACCCTTTAAAGGGAACCCAACATTTAGAAACCTGAAATTCCCCCGCCCTTTCCGCAGATCCGGCAATGACGCACCAAAATCCGATCAGAATTCACAAAACTCACTGTATCTCAACGCAGAAAAGATGAAGTTTCGCCCCAAAACGTTTCCACCCAAAATGATCACCAAAACGAAGAGGTGAAGCGCTAGATCGACTGAAATTAGGGCTTTTATTATCTCCTGATCGGATTCAACTGTACTTTTGGTGGAATTACGCTTGAAAATGCGTGCTTTCTTCAGATATCAATAGCATCCGCTTCAATGAAGAAAGTCAGAAAGGGCGGAGGGAGAGATTCCGGGGCCGGAGGGGGGTTCGTAACGTGAGAATTTATACGCGCGTTTTATGCTACAAAGTACACGTGTCAGTATTGTAGTGGTTTGAAAGTTGTGCTTATGGTATTTCAATCCTTTCAAAGATAAAAGATGGATCGGGTTAAACGGTAGTAAATCCGTCATATCTCCCGAACCTATCGAATCGGTTCGGGGGCATCTGCAGTTTTGCTTCTGCACGATCTGGTTCGTATTTGGCGAGCCGAAGCCAAAAAAGATAAATTACATACTGCCACCTTATAATATGGGAGTACTAACATTTAACCCACCAAAACTCTCATTTGTTACAAAGACCAACCCTGAATTTTCAGATTTCAACACTTTTCCCCTGCCTAGTTGACAAATATAACAGAAAAGGTAAATTTATTGAAATGGCCATTCAGAGTGAGAGATAATTAATATTAACATTAAGGTTCAAAGTATCGACATGTATTGGCCCATATTGGCTGATACGTATCGTTTCGAGACCCCACCAATACGCCTCTATAGTGGGTGTATCGGGGGTCTGACTGCTTCAGGGGATGGAGGAGACCTAAACCGACCCCTCTAAACCGATTTCAGAAAAAAAAAATAGTATCGATTCGCCACGGCGTATCGGGCGTATTGATATTTTGAACCTTCCACACCAGTCATAAAAATACATGAGGCCTACAACTCTCTCGGTGTGGGCTCCAGTCATTGGCATGTGACATTTTCATTGGTTCCATAGCTTATTACATAGTTAAGGCATTCAGCTAATCCGAGAATCATTATATTTCTTGTATTTTTCAACGTTTTTGTATTTTCATAATTTTTCTTTTTTATATTTTGTTATATTTTCCTCTTTTTCTTCAATTTTTTGTTGTATATCTTGTATTATTTGTAACTTTCCACTTTTCCCTTTATTTTTCATTTTATGTTATACTTAATTTATTTTATTTATTTATTTGCAAAGTTACTAGAATCAACCAAAAGTTTATTTGTCACAAATGAAAGTTTGGGGGTAAGTGTCAATACCCCCAAAATACAAGGTGGTAGTAAGTAATTTTCCCAAAAAATGCAGTATCTCGATAAATAAATAAATAAGAATGAAACATTTGTTAAAGTCAATATTTCCGAATGAATTCCTTATATAATTCAAAATAAGTTGATTAATTGAAGGGAAAATTTTCGATTAGTACCATGTATTTTGGACCTAATGCAATTTTGGTCCCTGAACTTTAAAATGTGACAAATTAGTATCTGAACTTTTAAAATATGCCAATTCAGTACATGTCGTTAACCAGTCATTAAGTGACATTTTCAAAGATATAAATGCTCAACTTTCTTAAACAGAAGAGGCAAGGATTTATGACTATTCATTTTTTTATCAACATTTGGATGGTTGATAAAAAAAATTAGATGACACTCAAAGATCATTTGTCTTTTCAAATGTCACTTAACGGTTGGTTAACGAGCTGGTTAACAACAAGTAATGGATTGACACGTTTTAAAAATTTGAGTACTGAATTATTGTATTTTGAAATTCGGGGACCAAAGTGGCAATAGGCCCAAAGTATAGGGTTAATTGAAAATTTTCCCTTAATTGAACCATAAGCATGGGAATGTAGGGTTTAAATCTAAAAACAACCACTTTGTTAGTTTAAATCCATCAGTCTAAAGGGTTACTTGATGATAGCTGAAGTAGATGAAATGAATGACTTATTGCTTAATTAATTTTTAGTAAATAAATAATAAAATAATAAAATATTCAAGAATATAATAATCAACCTAACTTCAGCTTCAAGTCTTCAACTATTAAAAATTTAAAATGCCCAAAAAGCAACAAGGCAATCAATTCATGCATTTCAGCTCTTAATATTTTATCCAATTCTTATGAAGTTGACAACACCAACCCTGCCCCATGTTTTGTCTTGGACCAAACCTACCGGTTCGACCACCACATTAGGTTGGGCCAGCCACCTTGCAAGTGCAATTAGTCTAATTGTAATGACCAGGGAGCTCCAATTCATAAACCTCAACCAACTAGATCATCAACCGGGCAATAACAATCAGAGCCATACAATCAGTAGATCTGCGTTTTCTGTGGGGCACATTGAATTCTAATCACTTGCATGTATGCCACGTGTCCACATCCACATAAATGGTAAAACTCACCAAAAACATAGCAGATATTAATGAACCAAAGTTTTGGCGTCGTTATGGAATGACACATGAAGTTGCTACATCATTGTTGCTGTCTATAAACCTGAAAAAGATTGAAATTGATGTGGTAAAAAAATATCCTTTATAGCTGGATTCATTAAATTTGCACTCATATTATATTTCCTTCTGTGGTGGACAATTGAACATTCCATTTCTTTTATAAACCAGATACAATTGTAGTAAAAAGTCATAAAAACCCATTGCTTATAAATCAATAAATGTTACTAAATGGGTGTTATTGTAATTACAAACACAGTAAATGCATTGCTTTGAGTATCCGTACTTGTAATTGCCGACAGAACTATTCTCACCTTCTAATCTCAGAAGGAAAAAGCTCTGCTTTTGACAAAGACTACTACTTAATCCTGAATTGATTGATTAATTAATGGGAAATAAGGGGGTGAGGAATCATGGTGGAAATGCTGTCTGCAACTTTTTTTTAATGAAAAGACAAGCCCTACCCTTGCCAAAACACTGTAGAGACCATGTGCTCGTGCTGGGTTTGGTGAAGAATCTTGTATTATTGGAGGGTAAAACAATAATTTTTGCTCAGTGGATTTGGGCTTGACAGTGCTGGTTTTCTTTGATCACATGTATCTTCAATTATTCCGAGGGTGTGGACCATCCATCTGGCCAATCCCATTTGGAACCTTCTATGTCGGACCTGATTTGAGTCTGTTTGTTGTCTAAGACTGACCCTACGATTGGATTCAGTGTCACAGTAATTTGATCAAGTTGTTCCACTGGGGCTGTTTGATAACGGCTGAAGTGGTCTGTATTTGAGTCTAATTTCATTTACAAGAGTCGGTGCCAAACAAGACAATTCTTAGTATTCATACATCAGTCCGGATCTCTGCCCACAATAACTCTACCCCTAGTACACCACAGGTCCACAGCCGCAGTCCGCAGAGGTAGGTGTGTGTAGAAGATCGGAATGTGTAAATATAAAATAAGAATAATTCACAACCCACTACGGGTGCAGATTTAGGGGTGTCAATTGGACTGGATTCGGTCGAATCCGATTCAGTTCAATGTGAGTAAATTACAAATGGACCAGGTCTAAGTAAATCCAATAAATACTTTGGATTATTTTGGGCCGGTCTAATTCAATGTTAGATTATCTAATTTGTTCAAATTTGTTTTAATTTAGATTAATTTTAATCCAAACCTGATTTATTGATATCTATATTCTTATCTTCTATCAATGCCTGATATTGGCTCAATCCAACCCAGTCCAGTATAAATACATTATGGATGGACTAGGTCCAATCCAATCCAATAAATACTTTGGACCATTAAGTCTGAACCAAGGTTCAAAGTATCGATACGTATCGTGCCGGTACACCCCTCCAGGGGTTGTATTGGGTCAGCCATCGGTTCAAAGGGTAGTCGGGCCTTAAACGAACCCTCTGAACCGGTTTTGAAAAAAAATAACTTAAAAAAATGTACCGACACAGGCTGTGTCGATATTTAGAACCTTGGTTTGGACTGGTCCAATTCAATATGTCTTGTTGGACCGTCCAATCCATCCAAATTGATTTTGGTTTGGATGGAGTCCAATCCAAAACCGGTCCATTGACACCCCCTAAGTGCAACTTGGGCGGGCCAAACCTAAATCTGGACTGATCTGGTCCAAAATTTTATATGGATTAGAGTTAGTTCGTTGATCAGCTGAAACCCAACCTAAGTGTATCAAATTATAATACAGGTTGAGCTCGAGTTAGAAAGACCGGGCTTGACCTTGGGCCTAGTCCTAATTTAGGCCTTAGGCCTGAATCTCAAGATTGGCCAGTTGGGGTGGTGGTGCCTCGATTAGTTTGATCACTACTTGTAGCAGAGACTTGGGATAAATCCTATTGCCACTTGGGTTGGGAGGCTGCATGCATGGGCTGAAGGACATTGGACTTGCTGATTTTCTCACGAACAAAGTGGCAATCTATGATCTAGCTCAATATGGAAAATTGGATTGTTTGAAATGTATGGTGCTACTTGATTATCAGAATAGAGATTAGTAGGCTAAAGAAGAATGATGAGATCAGTGAGAAGCTAGTGACTCACAAGCTATCTTGGCCATGGATCGATACTCAATTTTAGCTGAGGTCGAGAAATCATGGAATCCTCGACCCTTTCAGTGCCATGTTGGCATCAATGTCGTTGCTCCAAAAAACAATGACACATCAGCACCACCTTGGAAAAATTGGTACTTCAGAAAACGGTAACATGTTTGGAACCATTTTTTCATAAAAAATGGTACTCTAAACCATGTCTTAGAAATCGAGAAGGTATGGTCTGGGGAAACATTGAATTCGACGTTTTCTCATTTTGGAGCTCGATGCTTCCAATGAGGACATAATGTAGCAGTGACATGGACTTCCTATAATAGGTACTAGTTCTGAAAACATATATGTAGCATTGGTACCAAACAAAAGGTATTGTTGTTGCCCCAAAAAATGTCCTACTTGGCAGCAATGTTTTCAGACAAAAAAAAAAAGACACTGTTTTCTTAAAAAACAGTACTTCCAACCCACACAGAAAACGGTGTTGTATATGCAACATCGATGCCAACACATATACATAATAAATCACCTGTAGATCTACATCCAAATTAATGGGACTTGCTCATAAATTGGCTAAGATTGTTGATAGCAAACATAAACATAAGATCAGCCTGATCGGGATGAATTGTATTAATTTTACAATTTTTAAATTCTATTTTTACTTAAAAGTTTCAAGCTCCTTTCTTTATTTGCACAACTACCTACTCAATTTAGCAACTAATTTCCTTTTAATTA